TGATTAAGCCCCGAACACTTGTTTTAGAGGATTAGACCTTTGATAAGGGGTTAGTAACTTGATTGATTCCTAAAGGTTGAAGCAGTTAAAAATAAGGAGAATCCTCATATGTTGATATGTAGAACTACAATAAGTAAAATCTAACCAAACTTGAGTGATGTAAGGAATTAGCATTGAAAATTTAACCTTAGGTTACACCCTTGGAAAGAGAAAAGAAAATAAGTTTGGGGGTGTGTGAATCCCACAAGCAAAGTAAGGAAAAATTTGACTTCTAAGGTCGGGAATTGGGTCAACTTATTATTGTACAGCGTTGCACTTGACTCTCCACACACACACCCGTTTTGCATTGAATAGGTGAGAAGTTAACTTTTGCATTATAGCTTTGAAGTGGTTCATGGAATCGAAGTTATGTTTTTAATTCTCAGACATGAAGGCAAGCTATCTAGCGAAATTTATTTTAAGTGATTTTGTTTGTCTTAGTTGTGCTTGTGTGTCCATTAATTATTTTTATGGGTTTTGGTGTTTGCTCGAGGACTAGCAAATGGTTAAGTTTGGGGGTATTTGATGAATTTGTTACACTCATGATTTTTGCACAATTTTAGCTTGATTTTTGCTAGATCTTGTGAGTATAGAATGTTTTTTATGTGTTTGTTAGTGTTGTTTTGAAGATTAAGAGAAGCGATGTGAAAAGAAGTATTAAAGTGGATGAAGAGGCCAAAAACACGGAATTGGAGCAGAAAAACGGCGCTTAGGCGTTGCATTCATAGCGCCTAGGCGCTACAAAACTGAAAAAAAAAGATAAAATTTGGACCCGAAAGGCAACGCCTAGGCGCCACAACCATAACGCCCAGGCGCTACCATAACACCTAGGCGCCACAACCACAGCGCCCAGGCGCTACCATCAGCGCCTAGGCGCTGCGATTAAAGATTTAGGTCGCGTTTTTTGGGGCATTTTTAGATCCATAAAAACCCAACTTCTACGTAAAACGGAGGGGCACCTATAAATATATCTTCCTCATACTTTTGAAGGGTTCTTGACATATTGGAGAGAAGACAACAAGAAAGGAGATTCAAAAGAGAAATTCAAGAAGATTAACACCAAGCAATTGAAGATTAGAAGCATTTATTGGAAGAGGAAGGAGATCTTGGTGCAAGAATTCTACTTTTTTTTCTACATCTTTATTACAAACTCGATAATGTATTTTAAGACAAATTCCTACCTTTCTTCTTGTATTATGAGTAGCTAAATTCATTGTTAGGGGGAATAATGTAACCAATTGGGATCTTTTACATGCTCTTATTAAGACTTTCAGTTTTTAATTCTTTCATGTGTTGATTTTACTATGAGTTGAATGCATTAAATTATTTGATCAATAATTTGATGATTTTTGTGAATTCTTTACAAATAGAGATATGAGTTTAGGATTTAGACCATGTAGTAAAATCAAGTACATTGGTATAACGAGTAGAGATACCTATACCATTTATTGCGGTCATAATTGAATTCCTAAGACATAGAACTCGTTTAACTAAATTGAATTTGCATAGAGATATGAAATTTAATTAGTTGAATAGACTCAATGAGAACTCGATAGGGGTAAATTGAATACAATAGGAGAATTCGACCGAGCACTACATTAGAATTGAGTTTTATTTTGAGATGTAAAGGTGATCAATTGGTGAAGTTATTCTACCCTAACATTCATTCATTATTTGATTCTCCAACCAATCGTGTGAACATTCATTTATTTTCTAGAATTTAGATTAAAACCCAGATTTTACGACCTTTGATTTGTGTTAGTCAAATAGTAGTTAAAGAAAGATTGAATTAAATGCTAGAAAATAGTCTTTGTGGGATCGACAAATCGGACTCTTAGGTCCACTATTACTTGTTACGGGTCGTACACTTGCGAAACAAAATTTTACAACATTAACCATTGTTTAAGACTAGCTATATTGATGGTAGAAACAATATTCCTTTCAAATTAAAAAAGAAAAAAAGTTGACGAAAGGAGGTTGATCATGAGAACTCTCTATTCCGACAACTCTATTGAGGCAATGGTATACGAGCAAGATCCTCTCTATATGGAACCGGTTGCAACTCGTGCCCACCATCTAAGTTGTCGATCCCATTTTCCATTCGCATTTGAGCAATTGGGTCGAATTTTGTGGGCTCGATGAATGTGATAACTTTGTCTTTGCGACACATAAGATAGATTACTGACATTATATATACAGCCATCAATGGAAAAACAACGATTCCAATGAAGACATTCCAAACTTTTCGTAAATTGTTGTGGATTAACCAGTCCACAAAGGCTGTGCTCAAATAGTAGATGTTGATACCTATGATTCCCAGCCCCAATGTCCATGAGAACACTACAATCTGCAAACAGAAATTTAAATTAATCAATTAGGCAAAAAAGCAATTTCTGATAGAATGTGTTTCCAGAAATCCTTTTTTCACTTCTTGAGCATGGTAAACGTTAATTAAGTTTTTATCGATATATTGACGAATTGAACAAAGCAGCAGAATAGGATTTATAGAGTTTATTCTAAATGTATTGAAAACAAGATCAATCTATGTTTAGCTGGTGTTTATAAACATTCAAATCACTCTTTCTTTCTGTACACATTTGGAGTGTTCCACAATTACTATACACTTAACCATTTTCAGTACGATCTATAAATTATAATTCAGATTGTTTATAAACACTTCTCAGACGTGTTTATCGTAGTAGCCAAACTGAAATATCATGGCTGGAAGTCCGGTCTAACGTGTTTCAAACTAAGCTCCTTGACATAAAAAGAATTATAGAAATTAAATAATGAGAAATTTGCAAATAGAAAGAAATGGGAGAAAAATGAGCTTACATAGATTGAGTTCTTGTGAGGTCCCATTTTGGTGGAACTGCTGCTGAATTTAAGAAGCGGGATGAGAGCAAATGGAAGTTCAAAAGAAAGTATCATCTGCAGAAAAATCCATTCAAAATAAAGCTGATTCAATAATCTGATTTTAACTGAAATATATAAAAATCTCGAAACAATTACGTAAAAAATAAGCACTAACCGATGCGATGATGATCAGTCGACCTGATCCTGATTCTCCACCAATAATCGAGACTATTAGACTAGGTGTGATAGCAATGCACCTAGTCATTAAGTTTCGAATCCATGCCTTCATCTTCAGATCCAAGAAACCCTATTCAATGGAAAGAATCAAATTAATCTATGCATTGGGTACGGATTATTAGATAGCAATGGTAAAGAAAAAAGAAGTTCAAATTCTTGTTTGTTGCACCTGAGGGGCCGTGTCTTTTTCCCTCTCTAAAGATTTAATATTTCGAATAAAGTAATGTATAGTACCTGCATGATATATTGTCCCGCATATGTGCCAGTAATTGTGGAGCTCTGGCCTGAGGCAAGTAATGCAATGGCATAAACTGTAGAACTCGATCTTCCCAAAACATTCTGCGAAGTTTATGGTATATGTTATGTCAAAATACGCTCTAGAGGGGATTAATAAAGAGATATATGTAATAGTATTTGTTCGCGTAAGAGATATATATATCTAATAGCCATTGAACCTTAAGCAGGAAAGAAGCAGAGTTGAGTGTTAGATCATTGCAACGTTCTGTGTTATCCTTTGACAAATCCTTGGCCAAGCAAACTGTGCCAGATACAGAAATAACTGCAACATTGATCAAGAATGCTACAAATAGTGCAAATCCACTCTCAATCAAGAAGAATCGACACGCATCCTGAAAACAAGAGGGAAAATAATTAATGAACATGCACTAATTATTTTATTTTTTTAATTATAATGTGGGCAAATTTTTTTAAAATGGTCCAAATTTCGTGGTCAAAGTAATAAATAAGTCACTAATAAAATTTTTGATTTAAAATATCTATTTGACTCATATTAAAGAGAAATACTAGAATGTCAAAGTACTGTTTTCACAGGCACTCACAAACAGATGAGCCTCACATCATTAAAAAAATACCCCAAAAATCCCACCCCTATCAGTAGTACCTGTTTGTGAGTGCTTGTAAAAAGCCTGTGAAAATAGTACCCTGAAATTCTAGCATTTCTCATTATTAAAATGTTCTTTACCATCTTCAGATCATCTTATTCTTCACGCCCTCCCCTCCCCTCCCCTCACCTAACTCTCCTTCACTTGCTGCTCTCTCGAGCAACCACAGATATTCGAGTCAGAAGGGCATGGTGATACTAGTAGTCCCTACTAATCCACTCTAAAATTTAGTTCAAATTCCGTGGGAAATGAGACAACCAAAATAAATAAATAATATTAGTCGTTTCCTTTTTCTTCCATGACTTGGTAGTTTTTAATAAATTCCATCATTTACATATTCATGGTGATGGTTTGTGGGCCATATCATTCAGTTTCGTGCCTACCTTAATACATTCATTAATTTAGTACATTACTTACGAGTACTGAGTACTGACTTCTCTTCAATAATGTAAAAGAAGTCAACAAAAAATTTGGC